TCTATCACTTTTGATCCCAGATGGCTAGTAATTTAATTATCTCTATATGTTGATTGTCGATTTAAATACCGATCAAGCCATGTCAAGTTTTCTTTCGAAAAGCAGATTAGGAATACAAAATGATTATTTACTTGGCGTTGCAAGAGCAAAAAATATCAAGCGATAGTTTTTTTGGTGTCGTAAGAGTCCAGAATATAATGTGATTATTCAGCTGGTGTTGCAAGAATCCAAAATATAATGTAATTTACTTGGTGTTACAAGAATCATTATTATAGAGTGATTTATTTATTTTTACAGTAGTCCAGAATATAAAACTGTTAACTAGGGCTGTACCGAATAGTGATTTTCACTATTCGGCAAAACACACACACACACACACACACACACACACACGCACGCACGCACGCACGCACGCACGCACGCACGTACGCACGCACGCACGCACGTACGCACGCACGCACGCACGCACGCACGCACGCACACACACACACACACACACACACACACACACATTCACAATGTCAAATGTACGCTGAACTTTTACTTTACATAAAGTAGCACAGAATAGTCATCTTCTTCTTTAGCATTCTGAGCCCTTGAGGTTTACTGCTGCAGATATCACTCGTCTCCATTCATCTCTCTGGCTGGCCTTATCTTCACAATTTGTGACACCAGTTGTTTGCAGGTCTGACTGGACATTATCTCTTGAACTTTTTTTTTGTCTGCCTCGCGGTCTATGCCCATTCCTCTCTCAGGTGTATACATTTTTACTCCTCTGTCATCTGACATTCTTTCAATATGCCCCAACCATTTTAGTCTGTTAGCTCTCATGATGCTAGTGATTAATTGTGATTTAAACAGATTATGTGTTACGTTGTTGCTTCTCACTCTCTACTTCCCGCTGTTAGCATCTTTGATGGGTCCAAAGATTTGTCGTAAGACTTTTCGAAAACTGTAATAAGGCCTCATCTCTTTTATTTCTGCTTCAAGTTTCAGAGCCATATAAAACGACTGGTCTTATCAACGTTTTATATATTTTGATCTTAGTGTTGCGAGACAGACACTTTGACTTTAGCAGATGTTGAAGGGCATAGTATACTATATTTCTAGATTGTATTCTAGATTGTTTTCTTTTCTCAGCATGTTGGAGCTGTTGAAGTTTGCACCCAAGTACTTATATGTTTCCGTTCGTTTGATTTTCATAATATCGACTTGGATGTGGCCGGAGTTTATGTTTTCTCTATGTCTAGTTAGTATTCGTACAAAATAGTAAACATTTAAAAACATTTTATGTTTTTCATCCTTCAGCCAGTCTGTGGTAACTAATAACTAAGAATGAAAGGATCCTAAGTATTATAACAAGAAACTTAACTTGGAAATTGCCACTGACAGCTTAGTTAGTGCATGAAAGCTGCATTAGCTTTCAACAAAACCAATCTTTCCATGTTGTCAGCTTTAAGGCCGTGTATGCAGAGCGGGTGTAAGGTAACTACTATTCGTATTCGGCCCGACTGCAACTATTCGGCCGCATACCAAATAATCAATAGGTCCACTATTCGGCACCGAAGCGAATACGAAGCGAACATTCGGTACAGCCCTACTGTTAACACGGTGTTGCAATAGTCCCGATTATAAAGCCGTTTACACGGTGTTACAATAGTCCAGAATATAACACCATTAACACGGTGTTGCAATAGTCCAGAATATAACGCCATTTACATGGTACTGCAATAGTTTAGAATATAACACGGTTTACACGGTGTTGCAATAGAGAAGAACATAAAGTGATTTACTTGTTGCCGGAAGCGTGAAGAATATACGGTGATTTATTTATTTGGTTTCGCAAAAGTTATGAAAAAAGCATTGATTGACTTGGTTTTTGCATGTGTCAACAAAAGGCTGAATAGTGACTTACTTTATATTGAATAGAAAAAGAAATGTAGTAAACAAAAAGAAAGATCCCTTGTCTAAACCTGCTAGAAGTGATAGACCTATATCTTATAGACTATTCGGCACTCGGTCGGTGATGTAGAGAAACAAGCATAAAGAAAACTTGATTGTCTTATCAAAATGACTATTCAAAGCATGGTATTTTCAATAATATATATAATTAAAAGGCTATCCTCTGAATCATCACCATCATCATGTAGCAGGTCCTTTGCAGAACGTCGCTCTCATCACGGTCTGCCTGTAAGAAACTCGGTTTCTTGCTAGTTCTCCCGCCTCATGAACTTTTACACTCAAGGAGTCACTTATATCATGTGCCCATCTTCGTGTCGGTCGGCCTCTGCCCCTCCTTCCTGGGACCATGCCTTCTGCTATAATTTTTCCAATCTGTCGTGGCGCTTGATATGATCAACATATTTCAGCTTTCGAGAAAGGATGCTGTTTATTAGCCAATCTTCCTTGATGTTCAGATCTTTTAAGATGTCAATATTTCTCATCTTCTTATCCTCTGAAAAACGGTCGTAAATTATCAAGGCGAAAAATATACCCTAGCAGGGCTCCAGTCACGTATCGATTGCGCACTTCTGGGGACTATAACGCCACCGCCGAATTGCGACCCTCTGTCGCATGACAGCATCCCCACATCTGCCACAGTTGGAAGGTCCACAGGCTGTACACCCCTAAGCTCGTCATCGTAACTATGTATTAGTATAGGCCAAGCATAGTTAGATAGTTCGTTTGTTGTGGGGGAGTCCTGATAGGAAAAATCTCTATAAAACCCTTTGATAATGACTGTTTTAGGCTTTGAGTGTCGAATTACATGTTAGGACACATTTTCTACGCCTATTCTAAATAAATTGTCTGACCACTGCACTGCATTAGTGAGCGAGATTCGTACGCTAACTGCTGTAGTTAGGGGACGTGTTTGTGTGCGTCACTTCTCTACAGTCCGGTCTTGGAGGCAGCTCCTTGTGTCTCGCCAATTGACCGTTATACAGACAAGATTCCTTATTCTCTTTTTTATTTATCATGGGTGAGTTTTCATAGGGATTTTTAATTGAATATTTGCGTTCATAGTGTCTGTGATGTAGGTAAGTAAGGTCAGCAGCTGGATAATGCGAATCTGTTTGCCTACGATTCTTGCGAAGGAAGGCGGCGAAAGGAGCTCTGGATCGGAATGCACTTTCGGCTGACATTTCTCACAGAAGGCTTCGAAATGGTCTTTTAAACCTCTTCAATTCAATCAATCTACATATCTGGAGTGGGTTTGTAGTATTGATAACTTTGTATTATTAGTTATTTGCTGGTATTCGGTATCAGAACTTGGTAAGTCTCTGAATGGTTGTGAATGACATGAGGCTTCTGGGCAGGCATGACGTCATGTCCGCTGTTGCTAGGTGATTTCGTAACCACAACAAGCTTCGACAGTCGTATTGTTTTCAGAACATATTTCAGTCGGTCTTGGTTTTGACTTCATCGCCTATCCCGTATTTTCCCTATTAGTGAAAAGGGTACGTTAGAAGGAAGGGTAACTAATGGAGCTCTGTCTAACCTTTGCTACAGAACTGTGGCTGGTGCTCACTCTAGGAAACTAAATGGATTCCAAGATAAAGGTGACCAACCTTCATGGTTGGGAATAACCTCAAGTTTATCTGAGCATGAGGAGATGGTAAGGATGTTGATTGACTAGGTGCCTGGGATACGGTTCGCTCATGGGTGTTGCTTTGTGTTTTTCAGGTTATGAAGAATCCAACAAGTGTCAACTAATAGACTAATCCATCTGCTACCACCCATTAAGCACTGAATTGCTGTGAACGTGTGGACATCAGTCGACGTCTTCTGAGCTCAGGTTGTTTGTCCCCGATCAACACCAGAAACTGCCTCGTTCTTGAGAAGGCCTGTCGTAACATACGACAGTCTGAAACTTCACTCCAGCATCCTGAGGAGCTACAAGATCTAAACAGATAAGTCAAAGTGACACTTTAAGGCAGCTTGATTCTAAAAGGGCCTTTGCAATCTATCCGACTCCTCAGCTATGATGATACTGGGCAGAAACGTAGAGTAGGAAGAAGACTCTTTCACTAACATTGTTATTTATAGAATTCAATATTCTTTCAGTTAATTCTTCTGGTTATTTTGCGTCAGCTTGGTTACAAGGAACTTATTACATTGAATTTCGTGTTCATCTGCCTTCTAGTTCTTAGGAAAGTTTTGTCTAATTGGAATTCATTGTGGCATTTATAAACTTAGTCTTGTCTTATCGTATTCACTGTTGAGTATTTGTTTGACTGGACTTGCATTGTTCCAGTCTGGGGGCAAACAGTGGTGAGGACGTCTGGCCGAGAGGTACCCAAGTGTTCATAATAACCCTGTGGAGTCAGAGCTCGTGTCACCTCATCCCTGAGACAGGTTGAATGGAAAGTTTGAACCGAGGGTTAGGCCTCTAGACGAACGAGAGCCACCATTCAAAACACTAATGTCTCAGAGCACCTGAGGGATTTGTGAAAATATCCTGTAAGTAACGTGCGCGACAAAACTGCCATACGACACCCTCTGGCAAATTCCGCCACCGCCGAGAGTGTCCCAAACGCCGCTACGCGGCGTGGAATGGGGCTAAACTAGATGGCTAGGACTCACGAGGAAATAAAATGAAAGAAGCTACAGGAGATGCGGTAGCTGCTGCTCGTGAGTCCTAGCCATCTAGTTTAGCCCCAAACCACGCCGTCTGATTGGCGTGGGGGACACTCTCGGCGGTGGCGGAAGTTGCCGAAAGTTCGCAAATCGGCGGTGGCGGAAGTCGCCGGAAGCGCATTTTAAGACGACGGAAGTGTGCAATTGACATGTGACTGAGGCCCTGTTAGGGTATTATTTTCCGCCTCGAAAATTTACGATCGTTATTCAGAGGACAGCCTAATTAATCTATCACTGTTATAGAACCTGTACCCATTTTACACGGAGCAATAGTAAATTAACACACACAACTTGCAGACACAAGAAGAAAACGCAAAACAAGACACGCTGGGGACCAACGGTGCACACCAAGTCACACCCGG